CACACGGGCGACGGCATGCTCGAGCGGAAGGGCTCGCGACGCCAATACACCCAGCGGGTCGAGGCAGGCGTCGCAGCAAGAGTACCCGGAGGGAGGTGGGGCGACTGCTGCTGACGTGGGAAGGGCTGTGAGGGCTCGGCCCGAGTGGGGTCCAGCTTGCGAAGGCAGCAAGGCTCGGGACGCAGGCTTGATGTGAGAAAGGTGCTTTTCGAGCCCGCGCTCATCACAAGCGGCCACAGCAGCCCGCTGCCAGCCGCGCAGGTGGCCGTCACAGGGTGCGGCGCATTCGGCACGGCCGTAACTTCCAGTCAGGTACTGGAAAGCCACTCTCGCGCGCGTGGCGGTGCAGGCGGCGGCCAAGCCGGGCGGCACTGAGGCTAGCTCGCAACCGCGCCGCGTCATCGGGGGGAGTAGGGCAGGGAAGGCATCCTGCCACGAGGCCCGGTAAGCGGCAGGAGCACCAGAGGCGGCTGACTGCAGACCTGTGCCGTGGCGAGGGCATCATCCGGCAGCGCACGCGCATCTTCTCCGTAAACCAGGGTGCGGAGGCACAAAGCAACGGCGCGGTCGTGGTCGCGGGAATAGTCGGCCGTGCAGTGCGGAGGGAGCATGCGGAGGAGGTAATTAGCGCGGGTTGACGCACAGAAAAGGAGCAGCAACCAGGCCGACTGCAAGTCGCTGAAGGCGGGGATACGCTCTAGGAGGACATCCTGGCAGCGGCGGCATCTGCGAGGTTGCCGCGTAGAGGATGGCGACACGCTCCGGCGCGCAAACGATGTCGAGGAACGCAAACACGCCCACGCCTGGCTGCAGTGTGGCCGCAACGGCATGAAGGGCGGCGTGCTGGGCGCCTGCATAAAGTGCAGGCATGAGGTCGCCTTGCTGGCTTGCAAGACCTCGTGTTCGGCGCCGACGTCGTCGGTCCAGACGTAGCTGCTCTCGGTGCCGTAAAACTGGCGAGCGAACGGCAGGAGCATGGCCTGTCGGGAGACATGGTCGAACGCCCCGACGGCGTCGACCGACAGGACGGTGGCGCAAGGGTTGCATTCAGTGGCGACTTGGAGGGGTTTTTATTTTTTTTCCGCACACCTTTTTTGCAACTGCGACTGATGGGGGGTCCAGGTCCCTGTGCCATCTGCAGATTACGGCGGCGGGACGCCTACGCACGGGCAGGCAGGCGGCCGGGCGCAAGCAGCACAAGGCTCGGTTTGCAGTGGGAGTTCCAGGAACGCGGTTGCAAGCGCTCGCTGCGCAGCAACCGCGATGAGGCCACTCCAGCGGAGCACCCCAGCGGCCTGAGCGGCGGGGCGAAGCCCAGCAGGTGCGGCGGAGCCGCGTGCGCGCGCAAGAAGGCGAAGGAAGGAGGCGACTTCGGTGTCCCAACGACCACCAACCTCAAGTCCAAACACGACCAAGCGACACCTCCTGCCGCGGTAGCGCGCCTCGGTGCCCGCACGCGTGCTGAGGCCGAATTGGTAGGGCATGCAAGCATCCTGGGGTGCTGCGGCGAAGTGCTGGGCCAAGGCGGAGCAAGGCGCGAGCGACAAGGCGGCGAAAGACGTCCCCAACTACCAGGGCACGCAGTCGGCCGCTGGGCTTCCGGGGCTCGCGGCTCGCTCGGCCTCAATCCTTCCTCCTGCTGCCCGGACGGCCTCTGCAGTGAAGACCTGGTGTCCGTCGACGTCGGCATCCTCCAGGCGCACCGCACCAAAGTGCACTGTAACCACCACCATGCACTGCCAGCTACAGTTACGCGGACGACTCTCCAGCTGCGCTCACTGCGCCCAAGAACTGCCGCGGGCCGCCCCCCCAGCTGCACACCAGTGCACAGGAGCGGACGACGGAGAGCATGTATGCATGCATGCATGCATGCATGTATGTATGTATGTATGTGTGTGTGTGCATGTATATACATATATGTGTGTGTAGTTCAAAACATATGTAGGTAGGCAAAAAATACAAGAACCACAACTATCGTAGTAAAACCAACAAAACAAGAATAACAGTTATGATAATAAGAGTGATAGTAATCATAGTAGTAACTTATAGCAATCAGATGCAATAAGATTAACAACAGCAAGAACAACAAGCAACCACAATATTCATAATATGCTATTACAAACAAAAGTATTACTTTTTTTTGCTCGGTATGGTTTATAAGCATATGAATAGTATTGTTGGTACCATTTTTGTCATTATGATCATTTTCCCTATTGTTATTATTATTCATGTGTGTTATTGTTGTGATGACAAGCACAATAATTCAGGAAGTCCACACGTGCGGGGTATTTTTTCCCCCCACGCACCTTCTTCCGCAGAACGAATCGGTGAGCATGTTAGTTCGCACCACTACGGCTACAGCGCGGCAAGCCGTTCATGGCCTGACTTTGACTAGCGGCTAGCGCAGCGGCAGTCGGCTCGGCCCCGCAGCTGCGGCGAGGTCAAGCACACGGTCCAGCTCCGGGCCCGGTAGTTGGCTCGCGTGTGGTGGCACGGGCCACGGGCTTCCGAGCGCAGTGCTGCTCACGGCCTCCTGCACCGCTACGGCCAGAGCCGCCCAGCACCGTCTCGTCCAGGCGGAAGCGGCTGCTCCTCGCAGTGCCGGCGGTGCCCGTTGGGCTCGGATGCGCACTAAATCTCGGACGAGCCGCTGCGCCGCTTCATTCCAGCGCCCACCTATCTCGGAGCCGAGCACGAGCAGCCGTTGCGGGCCTCCGGAGCTGATCTCGGGGTAGGCGGCTCGCTTGCGCCGCTCGCCCGAAGCATGGCGCCGTCGTGCGCCGCGGTGCCAGGTTGTAGCTGGCTCATCCGGGTCAGTGGCGACACAAGTGTCGCATCGCAGCACAAGGCTACCCCCAATCTTCCCATAGGCGATGCGCCGTAGCTCACTAAGTCGAGACGGCGTCTGTCGTCTGGCACAACGCCAAGAGCCGCCGTGTTGGAAAGCCATTGCTGCAGGATTGCCTGGCCGTCTGCTCAGCGGCTTCGCGCGCGACTCTCACCCACGCCCGTTCGACGATCTTTGCTCGCCGAGCCAAGAGCCCAGTGCAAGGGCAGGCCACGGTATGGTCGCCGAAGACGTCGACGAGCCCGCCGCATCCGGGAGAAGCGCCGCACCGATTTAGACGGAAGGGGAGTGGGAGGCGCAAACGGCGGCGCAACGCAAGCTGCATCGTTTGCGGGGACAGTGTGGTGGCTGGCTCGGCCGGGATGGCCGGGATGGCGGTTATCCAGGCACCGGCGCTTTGGGCCACAGCGTGACTCATGTGCTGCGGTAGCTTGCGCACTCATGCTACCGTGTGCAATTTCCCGGCTCTCTGCTATAGCACCTCCCGGTGCCGTGCTGGCGACTGCTGCTGCACCGCCACCCCGCCCTGCTCGCGCCTGCCTTGTGCCTCCCGGTGTGGTCCCACCGGCTGTATGCGGAGATATGCGGAGGAGCGGCCGTAAAACATGCGGGTGGAAAGGGGGGGAGCTCCGGGGCCACCTCGCGCAGCTTGGACAAGAAAGCTGCCTTCGACATGGAGTCGCAGGCGCTGCGACCGTCCGGCGAGACCAAGACTGCATCACTGCGCTGGGCGAGTGCGACACGAACATGAGCCACGAGTGCATCCGTGCCCGCCCATGCTTGCAGTGCAAATTGGTACGGGCGTGTGGTGTCGTCGAACACCGTTGCCCAATGCGCGGCGAGCGTGCGGGAAACGAGGCGGCGAAAGGCGTCGCATGTGGCAATGCCCCGCACTCTGCCGTCGGGCTTGCGCAAAGCCGTCAAGCGGGCCATGGCTAGCGCGGTCTGGATCTTTGGCGGGACGGAAGCACGTGCGAGCAAGGTAGCGGCATCAGCGAGCAACTCCATGGCCTCCGCATCCTCGACCAGAAGCTTCAAGTGCTGAGCCCGCATGCCCGCGACAGGCCCGCGGCTTCCCCGCGCTTTGCCTCATGTAGCACTGTTGCCAGTGAATCCTGCTGCAAGACGGCCGGACCTGGCGCCAGTTCGTATGCCAGGAGTTCGGCCGATATTGGCGAGCGTGGTTGCGGAGGCCGCTGGTCCGGGTCGGTAAGCGCTCGCCACGTGGGCTCCGTGTCTGCCGCGACTTCCGCTGCAGTCAGCACTTGGTGAGCCCGTGAAATTTCACCTTGGCGGACAGAAGTGAGCATCCCGGAACTTGCGTGTGTGCGCTGTGACTTTCGCTGTGGTGCGCCGTGACTCGGGGCTGCGCATGGGGCCGGCGCCGTCACCGGTGAGGCTGGCATCGGCGAGGGCCGGGGCTGCGGATGCTGCACGATCGCCGGCAAATGTGTCAGCTGCTGCAGCTCCCGCAGCGCCCGCAGAATCTTCCAGCGCAGCCGCCTGGGCGGCTGCGGAGACAGAACCGTTGGCGGCCATCGCCAAAAGCGTTGCCGCCGCTACTAATAGCGTCTGGCAGCGCCAATGCGGGGTTGTGCCCCTCCGTTCTCTTGCGTCTCGCAAACTAGCACACCACGCAGGAGGCGTGCGAGGCTGGCCGGCTCCACCGGCGACACTTGTTGCCCGCGTCCATGCTGCTTCACTCAGGTTTCCAGTCGCGGCGTGCAACACCGGCACGAACAGCCACGAGTTGCGATCACCTGGCGGGGAGCTCGGTGGAGGGGCATGAGGGGCATAGTGCCGCCGTCGAACGCGGCCCACGCTGTTTCGGGGACACTTGCCGAGCCCGAGGCGCGTGCCCAGGCATCTTGAGGCTCAGCGCTCGCTTCATCTCTTTCCGCAAGGGTAGAGTCGCAAGGCGCGTTACGACGGCGAGCACTTCAGCGGCCCCGTCGAATGATGCGCGGCACCGCTGAAACTGGCTACTAGTATCATCCAAACCGCTACAGGCAGCAAGCCGAAAAGCAATGTTGGACCGGGACTTGCAAATCCCTGTGCGGAGTCCTGTTGCCGCAGAAACTACGGAGAAGGCAACTCTCTCATATCGACTGAAACATGGCCTCAACCCTCACGTAATTAATTTGTGCAGAAGCTAGAGCCCCGGCGATGACAAGATCTTGCCGACATGACTAGTCTCTGTTCCAGGCAGTCGGGTGGCAACGGAGCCGTGTTCCACTGTGATCGGGGTGTGATCTCCGATCGGGCAGGTTCCTTAATTTGGGGTTGCACTGCTTCGCAGAGCTGCTTCGGGCCTTCGGCGGCTGTTTTCATTGAAGCAAGGAGTTCTTTTCGCACGCGAGGCTCTGCGTCTTTGTCCAGAGGTGCTGGAAGGCACGTCCAGAACTTCTTCCGGAGCCCCTGGCACGGTCCCAAAGGGTCGCTTGACATCAGCCACCAGGACGTGAGGATGCGTCAATACACAAGGATGCAGAAAGTCCACACGCAGTTTCGTGCCACTTACACTTACACTGAAAGGACTCAGACATAGCAGAACTGGAGCTTTTCACGACAGCAAACCCCTCAAGACTGGGAGCCTGCAGCGCGTCGAAGACGACGCCCCGCTTCGGGTCGTGGAGAGGCCTGCACTCCTGACAAAGGGAACATGGAAAGAGGGAAGACATATTTGTGGTGAGGATCTGCGGCTATCTCTTGGCAACCAAGGTTCTCCGTCGCACTGGCAGAAGTCTTGGTGCGCATACGGCAGGTCCATCCTAGAGCTCACAAGCCCGCACTGACTTGTTCTGAAGCCTCAAACCCGTGCCTACACAAAAACATCCTCTCGGATTGAATCCTGGCCCCGGCCCCAACACCTTCGGCATCCTGACATCGCTTCTGGTTTCTGCTACCAGGCAGCTGGAAAGCGCGGGGCCAGCCATCACTGCCGCGGCCTACCGCCTGCTGCCACGTCGGTCTGTCCTGCTCACAGATCTCCCCTACATCGGATGTTGCACATGTGGGAAAAAGATGGCGGAAGGCACACCTGACACGCCACATGAAACCAGGCAGTGCACGAACCGTCCTCCTCCCACAGTGCCAGACCCACGCCCAACGTCCGCACGGCCTCGAGCTGTAAAAAGGCAGCCCGTGATCAAACAAACTTGGGCGAACTCCGCGGGCTACTTAGACTCGCAAATTTTCTCACATTTGGTGGTGTGCTGGTAGCAATGCCCCCACGCTTCTTCTCAGAGCAGTCAGAGGGGCGTGGTCACCCCAACGGTGGCTCCAGAAGCCCTCGAGGGAGTCGAGGTACCGGAAGTAGTCCTGCAAGAATGAGACATGGCTCACCAGCTGACATTATCATGCAAAAATACTGTTTCAAGCCACGCTGCAATACCAGGATACACGTTGTAGACACGCCCGCCAGTAGAACCCGTGACTGATGATGCTGCAAGGTTCGTGTCTGCTACCATGCTGCTACCATTCGATAACTTGCGCAGTTTAGACATGCTCGGCGTTGTTGCAAAAGCAGCTGGCTAAAGGGTCGGCCATCGTGCACATCCCGTTTGTTGAACATACAGCTGGGTGACGGAAGCCCGGGCTCCTTTCCCCTCCCTTTTTGTTGCAGAAGCAGGGTGAAGAAAGCCAAGCCTTCTTCCATAACTCATTGCCATCTTGTTGCAAAAGCAACCGGGTGAAGGAATTCCCCTTCTTTCAGCCCCCATATGGATTCAAAGCAACTGACCCCGACCTCCCCCCCACTCCTACAGGCAATTTCCTTTGTGCGGAAGTGCGCGGTTTCGCAGAATTGACTCTTGGCTCCTGCCCCATAGGGTCACAGGCCTTCCTCCCCCAACATTTTAAACAGTTCTGCATCTTGTGCGCCGGTGTTTCGAGGAAGGCCTCCTTTGGCCTCAACCCTACCCCGACCTCGCTCCGCACTCCCATAGTCAGTTCTGTGTTTTGCAGCAGGCAGAATTGGTTGGCTCTCGGTCTGCCACTCCCGAATTCGGCATTGAATAGTCAACTGTCTGACCTCAGCTAGCCGAGCTGCTTCGCCACACTGCTGGTGCGTTGGGGATTGGGGTGTTTTGAAGGTCTGGCATAGTTTGGCTTGGTAGATTGTGATTGCAGCACGTGTTAGTTCCCTCGCCTTTTCCCGGAGTGTTTTAATTTTTTGTACCACTCTCTTGTTTGCACTGTGTGTGTGGTGCTTCGCACCACTCTCCTGTCATGTGCTGTGGTGCTCTCTTGCCCTGTCCTGTTTGCCGCTCGCTGATTATATCGTGCGAATAATGTCGCAGTACCTACAAAGGACGTGGCGCATCCGGCTCAAAGATGATGCTGGGGAGGCCCTAACTGCAGACAGAAGCCATGCCGATGTGATAGCTCAGCAAGGCTACATGAGTCGTCAAAACTCTGGCCGTAGAAGGCTTTGTATTCAAACCAAAACACGCACACGCAGCCCCACAACAAAGGCCGGCAGTATGCAAAGCCATACAGGGCTGCACTGCGTACAGTCGCCGCTGATTGCTATGCGCTTGCCGTGTGTTCGGGTGATGTCTACTCCTACCCTGCAGCGTGCCTATGTGTGCTTGGTGCTCTCCCCCCAGCAGCCTGGCAGCCTGGTTGCAGCCTGTTTAGATGTATCCGTGTCTTGTCTGCCTTTCTTGCTTGGTGCTCTCTGCCCCGTTGCGCCTCTGTGTTCTGCTCGCAGCTTGCTTCTATTTACCCATCCTGTTTGCAGCTCTACCCCTTTCCGGCGTGCAGCGTGCGTCTGACAGCGTCCTGTTTGCACCGGGTGTACCGTGTGGCGCTCTCTTCATCTCTCTCCCCTGTCCCGTTTGCAGCACGCTGAATTGTATTCTGATGTGCAGTCTTGTGGTGATCTCCAATTACCCCTGTCTTGTTTGCTGCGTGCTTGTTTGCTTTGCTTCGGGGGCTGAGACACGGGCAGTCCTCGTACCCTGCACTTCAGCGCTCCCCCATCACTGATTTTCAGCAGCGTGCTTGTCCCCCGCGCGCTCTCTCTCTCCCCCTCCCGCTTGCAGCCTGCTGTTCGCCCCCAGCCTATCCTGTTTGCAGCATTTCCGCCTTGATGCCCTACCCCTGTCCGAACGCCATCTGAAGAGCGGTCCTGATACCTTGAAGATCGAAAGAAGGACAGCCGGAGCACCTCGCAGTCCTGACCGGTCGCCGTCTCGCGCGTGAGATGCAAAGGCTGCCGAAGGGAACCGCCACAGAAGAAACGAGTTAGCAGGCCGGTCCGTCATGAGGACACGATTGTTCCAGAGAGGCATCCTGCAACAGAAAGCCAGGGAGTGTACAGAGAGCGACAACTCCGGGTCCTTGTACAAGCATCTAATCCAACTTCCTACCGTCTTCACAGTGCGTCTTATCGCTGACCCGGCCTGTCCAGACCTTCAACGCTGCTGGAGCTCAGGAACGTCGACCTCGGACTCGGGCCGCTCTTGGAGCTGTGACTGTAAACCCTGGGGCCAACGGGACCAGCTCAGGCCAGGGCATGAAGTGCGTTCGGCCGCTCTTCCAATTCTTGGACAGCGTGCTCGACCAAATGTCCACCTGCTGCAAGTTCGCACAGCTGACGCTCTCGCACAAATCGGTCACGGCACCTTCTCCTTCATGGCATAGAGCATGGTGTACTCCCAGAGGCGCCGAACCTCACGTCGCTGCATTCAAGCCCTCGCTGCCAGGACAGGGCGTCATCTCGGCACGCTCACAGGGTCGTTGAGACGCAAGTCAGCCACGCAGCCGAAGCAGGCGAGGTCGTGGTGATATAGGACCTGCACAAGCAACACTGCTTCCCATGACCCGGCTGACAGAGAAGCCCTTTTTGCATTGCTCTTGGTCGGGCCGGTTTAGACGACTGCCTCACCCGGCTCTCCGTGCTCTGCTCGTGCCCAGTCGTTAGGCATGATGGATGATGATGGAGTGTTGATTTGGAAGACAATACTTGTCTGTCTTGCTTCTAGGGTTTCGTGCGTGCGCCAACGAATGCTAAGGTTCAGCTAGCGATGGGTGACCAGGGACTCGTGTGTTCGGTTTGGCGTAGCTATACAGTACTGGTCGAAGGTTGGCTCGGCTCTGTCATTTCTACCACAGTGCAGTGGTCACCGTGCCTGCATTTTATGATGCAGGGCTGCCAGACCCCCCCTTCACCCACCCACTCCATGGTATCCCCCCCTCCCCCCTGTGGGGTGGGGCCTGTGGTGGCATCCCTGCCCTTAGCTGAGGCTTTGGTTGGCTTTGTTCGCAGCCTGCTGCCGGTGATACTGCTCATGGCTCGCGAGTTGACACTCAGATCATCTTTGACATCATGCTGA